AGCTGCTTCCTAGGGCAGGCTGGGAGCTGTGCAGCTGGCCAGTGACTGTTCTCTGGGGCTGGGATGCTTGCTATCCCCCTGTGGAAATTCTGGGGTATAACTGTCCCCTGTGCTTGCTGCCTTCCTGTGGTCATTCGTGAGTAAAACTGTCCCTGCTATCACATCCCTCCCTTTCTGCGTGATGAGAAACAATCACATTCTAAGTACATTCCATTATCCTGGCATAACCACACCCTGGCCTTCTTTAAGTTATGATAAGAGAAGCTGCATACCACATTTGGTGGTCATAGCTCTTACTATTTAGGAGGAGCTCCTGAACAAACTGACTCACAGACGGGATGGAAGGACACAGACCGATGCACAAATGCTCTCAAATATGTAGTAGATTTAGTGAAACATAAGTAAAGAGCAATTATCCAATTATTAATTGGAATGTCAGCCTCACAAATGAGCACTTCACCTGAAGTAGAAACAATCTGGGATCTTGCCAAATCTCTCTCTTTCTTCATCTGTCCCAAGTCTACTTCAAGAGCTTGTTTGTCTTGTTTAAGCCGTTTTATCTCTTCCAGCAATTTAGTTTCTTCCTTCTTAATTTTCACAGAAAACATGTAAGGAAAATGAACCAAGACAACATATATTTTATATTTTAAAAGTAACAGGTGTTTTTCCCATCATAACAAGATGAAGCACAGCTACTGCACTGGTCCCTTAGCAGCCAATGTGATTGTTTATGTTGAATATTATCCCTTCTACGACAGAGTGCAGGAAGATATGAAGTTAGTCATATAATAGAGGCTAAATCTGAGGTCTTATAACATCAAAGGCTATAATTAGATGAGTTTTAGAATCCAAACAATTCAGATTCAGTTTGTAAGTAGACCATAGTTAAAGAAAATAACTCTTAGTCTAGGCACAATGGCAAAAATTATGAGTCCATTTATGTCCAGAATACAAACCTATTCCCAAACTTCAGTTTAATTCATTTGCATCAGTGAGCACTAACGTTTAACCTTATGCAGCTATGTCTTCCTGAAGACTCTTCAGACAAACAATTTGATTCCGTGTCTCCTGCTTTCCAAAGCCCATGGGAAATGAATGAGAAGGATTCATTCACGAATACTCAAAGAGCTGATAGAGGAGGTATCTGAGCCTTCAGCTACTATTTCTGAAAAATCATGGAAGACAGGAGAGATTACAGAAGACTGGAAAAAGGAAAATCTTGTGCCCATCTGTAAAAAGGGAAATAAGAACCACCCAGGAAACTACAGACTAGTTAGTTTCACTTTTGTGCCAGGGAAGCTAATGGAGCAAGTAATTAAGGAATTTATCTGCAAACACCTTGAAGATAATAAAGAGATAGGTATCAGCCAGCATGGATTTGTAAAGAACAAAACATGTCAAACCAAACTGATAGATTTCTTTGATAGGATGACGAGTCTTGTGGATGAGGGAGAAGCGGTGGATGTGGCATACCTAAACTTTAGTAAGGCATTTGATATGGTCTTGCATGATCTTCTTATCAATAAATTAGGCAAATACTGCTTAGATGGAGCTTAGATGGGTGCATAACTGGCTGGATAAAAGTTCTCAGAGAGTAGTTATTAAGCATTCACAATCCTGCTGGAGGGCATAACAAGTGGGACTCTGCAGGGGTCTGTTTTGGAACCAGTTCTGTTCAATATCTTCATCAACGATTTAGATATTGACATACAGAGTACGCTTATTAAGTTTGCAGATGATACAAAGCTGGACGGGATTGCAAGTGCTTTGGAGGATAGGGTCATCATTTAAAATGATCTGGACAAACTAGAGAAATGGTCTGAGGTAAATAGGATGAAATTTAAGAAGGACAAATGCAAAGTATTTCACACATACAAAATGGGAAGCAACTGTCTAAGAAGGAGTACTGCAGAAAGGGATCTAGGGGTCATAGTGGACCACAGCTAAGCATGAGTCAACAGTGTGACGCTGTTGCAAAAAAAGCAAACATGATTCTGAGATGCATTAACAGGAGTGTTGTGAGCAAGACACAAGAAGTCATTCTTCCACTCTACTCTGCGCTGGTTAGGCCTCAAATGGAGTATTGTGTCAGTTCTGGGACTACATTTCAAGAAAGATGTGGAGAAATTGGAGACGATCCAGGGTACGTCTAAACTACATGCCTCTGTCGGCAGAGGCATGTAGATTTGTTTGTTCAGCAAAGGCAAATGAAGCCGCGATTTAAATGATCGCGGCTTCATTTACATTTACATGGCTGCCGCGCTGAGCCGACAAACAGCTGATCAGCTGTTTGTCGGTTCGCGCGCTAGTCTGGACGTTCCCCCTGTCGACATCAAAGCCCTTTGTCGGCAGCCCCAGTAAACCTCATTCCATGAGGAATAACGGGGCTGCCGACAAACGGCTTTGATGTCGACAGGAGGTACGTCCAGACTAGCGTGCGAGCCGACAAACAGCTGATCAGCTGTTTGTCGGCTCAGCGAGGCAGCCATGTAAATGTAAATCGCGGCTTCATTTGCCTTTGCTGATCTGTCTAATCTACATGCCTCTGCCGACAGAGGCATGTAGTCTAGATACAGCCCCAGAGAACAGCAATAAGAATGATTAAAGGTTTAGAGAACATGAGCTATGAGGGAAGACTGAAAAAATTGGGCTTGTTTAGTTTGGAAAAGAGAAGACTGAGAGGGGACATGATAGTGGTTTTCAAGTACCTAAAAGGGTGTCACAAGGAGGAGGGAGAAAAATTGTTCTCCTTGGACTCTTGATGATAGGACAAGAAGGAATGGGCTTAAACTGCAGCAAGAGAGGTTTAAGTTGGACATTAGGAAAAACTTCCTAACTGTCAGGGTGGTTAAACACAGGAATAAGTTGTTTAAGGAGGTTGTGAAATCTCCATTTCTGGAGATATTTAAGAGCAGGTTAGATAGACATCTATCAGGGATGATCTAGACAGTACTGGATCCTGCCATGAGGGCAGAGGACTGGACTTGATGACCTCTTGAAGTCCCTTCCAGTTGTAGTGTTCTATGATTTTTCAGAAATACATAGATCTCCTTGGGTACGTCTAGATTACATCCCTCTCTTGACAGAGGGATGTAAATTAGGCACTTCAAAATTGCAAAAGAAGCCAGGATTTGACTTTCCTATGCTTCATTTGCATAATCACTTAATGGCACTCTTTCGAAAAAGTGTTATTTCGAAAGTAAAACCGCTGTCTAGATGCAGTTCTTTTGAAAAGGCAAAGTTTTTTCGAAAGATCCCGTAAACCTATGAAGTTTACATCCCTCTGTCGAAAGAGGAATGTAATCTAGACGTACCCCTTGTGAGATCTATGCACACTTGTTGGCTGGACATGGTGTGGATAAATCTCTAGACCATTTCCATATAGCCATATATCATTCTCATATAACTCTGTATTAAGAGAAACTTTCTAAGTCTTTATATAGATAGATCTTATATAGCTCTTTGCTTCTTAGACCATAGAAACTTTGTATTAAACCCTTTTTATTATAGGCCTTTGGAATAGGAAAATGTCTTTTTCTAGGAGTAGAATAGATCTCTCCCCTTTCATTGATTGTCCTGTTGAAATGAATGGAGAAGCCTTGAGAGGTGAGCACCTCCAGCAGCATTTGCAAGGGTGGAGAGGGGCTGGGAGCCAGATCCAAAGACAACAAGACTTGTAAAGTGAGCTCATTGAAAAGAAGATTGGACATATAGACGGCCTGGGAGTCAAGCAGCAAGTGTCTGCCCTTGGAAGGACCCTCTCTGAAGCAGCATTAAAAAAGGCGAGGTGATGACTAACTGGCTGCATGAGAGGGATAAATATGAAGCATCTTGCAGAGGGACCCTGGGGTTTTGTCTCGTCAACATGGGAGCATCGATCCGGATTGGCAGAAGCCCAGCTCCACCCCTCCCCATCTAACTCACCTGGACAGTGTACAGGGGAACAACTATTAGTAACGACAAAACGGAATATGTGTGTGTGTGTGTGTGTGTGTGTGTGTGTGTGTGTGTGTGTGTGAACATACATATGAAAGTATTGATTGATCTATGTATGTTCAATAAATGTGGCGTGTTGTCTTATCCCTCTGAAAAAGATCCCGGGTGCTTCTTTTAAGCACAACAATGGGTCTTTCTACAATTTACTGGCTTTCTTGCAATATGGCAGGTGCTTGAAATGTGGCTTTAAACTTTGACCATCTGACAGAGAGATTTATTTGGTCTATTGCTTTGAGACACTCAATCTTCCTGCCTCAACTTCTGAATATTTAAAATGAGAGATCGGCCATCATTCCAGGATACTGATTCAGTACAAAGATAATGGGGAGTTTGGATAATCAAGAGAGCGGTGCTGGGAGCTCTCTGCAGCTCTGCTGTAAGAGCCTTGCTCACTCCCTCACTGCTGCTGCTTCTGATCTCCCTGCACTGCTGCTTCTGACTTCGTGATTATTGCAGGTGTGAGAGAGACAGTGTCATGTCAGGACACAGAAGAGAACGCCATCTTGACTCCACTCTGTCAGGACCATAGATGTCCTGCAGCTGTTCAGGGAGCCATCTCCAGTTCTGCTGTCATGGTTCCACTCCTATGACAATAGGCCCACAGAGAGCTTCTTGTACTGCTGCAGAAATTATTTAGCAGCATGATGCCCTCCCCTCCCTTTGGCTAGAGGTCTCTGCTCTATTGGTGGACAAAGAAGGGATAAAGCAAAAGACTGAATAATAGGATTCTGGAAAATCTAGAGGGTATTCTTTGTGTGTAAATTAGAGATTTAAATAACCCGCGCTTCATTAGCGTAATCTCAGCTGCGCGCTGTTTCGGAACTCAGCTGATTCAAAAGTGAAACAGCGCTACGGGCCGCGTTAGTTCGAACCAAGGGGGTTGATTAGAACTAATGCGGCCTGGAGTGCACTTTCACTTTCGAATCAGCTGGGATCTGAAACAGAGCGCAGCTGAGATTATGGAAATGAAGCGTGGGATATTTAAATCCCAGCTTCATTTACTATTTTGAATGCCTATATTTGCATCCTTAGTTCAAATTAGGGTGCAAGTGTAGACATACCCTCAGGGAAAACTTTTTTTACTTTCTTAGACAGCCAAAGATGATATCTCTAATTTACACACAAAGAATTCAAACTAAGGTGCAAGTGTAGACATACCCTTACAGAATACAGAAGCAGTTCAAAATGCTGAACTGGTAGAGGCACCCTTATGAATCTGCCAACCAGCTATGATCTAGAAACCAATTGAAAAAACCTACACTAAATTAGTCCAAGATTAATATGCCTTTTTTGTTGGTATTTCAGCTATATATACACCTGTAAATGTATGCATACCACCTTGCTGGCTGCCAACATTCTCATAGAACATTTCAAGATAAGCACTGATGTATTCACAGCAATGACAGTACCTAAAGGCATGTCTGAAGGAAATGAATTTCCTTCTTTGGAAGCTAGTTTCATCGTTCAATTGATTATTCAGTCATGCTATTTTTTAAGCATTAAAATAAGACTGATTTTTAAGGGAGCGGTCGACAAAGGCTTCCCCTGTTGACTGATCCGACTTGACTTGTGCGCTGTGCCGACGATCAACTGAGCCAGCACAGCACGGCGGCCATTTTTATTTTAATGAAGCCGGGGATATTTAAATCCCCGCTTCATTGACTATGTCAGGTAGCCTATTTTACATGCCTCTGTCAGCAGAGGCACGTAGTCTAGACATACCCAAAGAGATTAATACCTTAAGAAGCATACACTTCTGGAACACCAAATCCACTTACCTGTGCTACTCGAAGTTCTGAAATAAGTTCTGTGAAGCTCTGGTTTCTTGTTGGTTTAGAATCCTGCTCTAAATGTGACGGGAAGTTATTTTTATCCATCTGTTCTCTAATGTAACAATGACAAAAGAGAACACTAAGCAGTTGGTGATTTTATATAACTTTCTGCTACGTTAACATATTCACAGGTTTTCACATGAAAGGATCATATTTGCAAATAATTCTTTTAAATCATTAAAAAAAAGAATAAGCATTGAAATCAACAGGTAAAGCACAAAGACTGAAATTACTCCTGGGATATCAGAAACCAATCCACCCATTTTCAAATACTAGTTTGATGACTGTGATGCTTTGCATAAGACAACAATTTGTATCACTGTTGCTACCACTGTTACACTATTGCAACAAATCCTGTACAAGTATGTCATGTAATCTCAGAGCCTGGGGATATGTCTACATAGCAAAGTTGTTTCGAAATAACAGCCGTTATTTTGAAATAATTTTACTAGCCCCACTACTAGCCAAATCGCTATTTTGAAATTAATTCGAAATAGCGGAGCCATTATTTCGAATTTGGTAAACCTCATTCTACGAGGAATAACGCCAAATTTGAAACAGCTATTTAGAAATAAGTGCTGTGTAGACACTTATATCGAAATAGGGGGCCTCTCCGGAGCTCTTAAAGGGGCTGACTCTGGCCACAGTGCCTGTGCCAGCTGCAAACCTGCCAGCCCAGAGCCAGAAGTCACTGCCTCTGACCCAGTGGCTCCAAAACATGAGCCAGCAAGCCACTGGCAGGCAACCCCCCACC